CACACAAAATCTGATACCTCCCTGGACCCTAGGTGCACCTGTTTCAYAGCCCTCCCCGCAGGCATGGCAAGCTGTTCAGAGCCCCTTCTGGRCCTGCACATACCAACACTTTCCCATGGCCATCGCTTCCACCCAATGATATATGGGCCAGAAAATTAAGGCATTTGCGGGGAATTAGAAGGGGAAAAGCATTTATTAAAGTTATAATAACACATCAAAAATGTCCATCATACCATTTTGGGGACAGGGAACTGGGGATGGAACCCAGGGCCTCATGCATGCCAGGCAAGCACTGTACCACTGAGCCACACCCCTAGCCCTCCATCATACTTTTGAAAGCTCTTAACTAGGCACAAGAGCAAAAATTGCCGTGGTTCCAGCCACTGCAGAAAAATTCATGTTCACCACCAAAGCAGAAAGTGCAACAGGGTTGGAGGGAGCAYCTCTCCACCATGTCCCAGGCAGAGGCTCAGGGCCTGCCACACCCAACACAGGCACTGGGGGATATGCAGACACCCTACAGCTGCAAAATGTCATCCTGTGTGTGGAAAGCTGTGATCACAAACATCACATTCAAACAAGACTGATGCACATGTGCACATTACCTGGTATACCTCAGGGACCTTGAAATAAAGCAACTTAGGAAGAAAAGACCCTGAGCAACACGCAGTAAGGCAATGGAAGTCCCTCCCGCCACCCCACTCGCTCCTCCCACTGACAGTCTGGAATGGACACACGTCTCTGTGGAATTCTGCAGCAGGACACGAGTCCCTCTGTCCATGCGTGCATATCAGTTACTTTACTGCACAGAGKGAGTCAGAATGGATGGGAGGAGGGAGTGAGGCCCAAGTGAGCAGGGAGAGAAAGGAGGGCCAGTGGGAAGAGGTACTTCCAGGAGAGCAATCTGCACTGGCATGGAATCTAAACTCCTAGAAGTCAGCACTGGCTGCTGAGTGCCTGGTGGGTGGGTGGGCAGGCAGGCAAGGAGGCAGAAGCCAGAGCCTGTAAGGTCACCGAGCCACACTTGGCATCATCATGAGCATCCAGTGGTACCACAGGCTCCCAGGGCCTGAGGGAGCGGGCAGTCCACCCTTAGACGTCCACACCATTTCCTCTGTCTCTCAAGGATCCGGTAGCCAGAGGCTTAGCACAGAGTATCTGCACTTCTCAAGCCCATGGGGGATCTGAGGTCTCGTCCTTGGGCCGAAGGCAGCAGGAACACTGCAACACCCTTTACCAGAGGTCAGGCTACTGCAGACCCAGGAGCTCTGGTGGAGATGCACACTTGCTGCAGCTCCGAAGRCCCCAAGCTTCGGGCTGCAAAGACGGCAGGCTTAGGAAAGATGGATTCACGAAGGGCAGCTAACATTTTGCTCTATGACCAAACRCATTTTAAAAAGCAAATATACTGCACTCTGCCATCTTCATTTTATAAAAGGACATTTTATCCTCCTAGTAGAAAGGACATGATTTCAGAATCTAAGACAATCCTGTAGGTTGAATCAATGTGTCCTCATCCTGCTCCCCTGCACAGAGCCCTCGCAGCCCAGGGTCACACTGTGGGCCACGCGACTCCAGCTTCCCCTGTTGCAGCTCTAGGTCAAGCTTGGGCCTCCCAGTCACAGGTTCTCCCAGCATTGTCACTGCCTCAAAGGCACATCCAATATGAGGAAGGACAGCAGTCCTGACAACAGCGACTCACACGTGCAGCCTGGGAGAGGCGCAGCAGCCRTCCTCACACCTGATGGAGTGAGCGCTCACTACGCACAGGGCCCGCCCGCCCGCTGCCACGTGGACAGCCGCAGAGCCCAGGCYGGAGCAGCTCTTGGGCAGGTCCCTCCCCTAGGCAAGCCCATGACTGCTGTAAATTTCTTTCACAAATTTTTTATTTGAAGAATCAATTCATGGAAAAAGAGGAAAAACTTAAATTTATGGTACTTAAGCCTGATGACAGAAACACAAGTCCTGTTAGAAACTGCTAGTGACCTATTTAACAGGGACACTCTGTTACCAAACATCAAAATAAACCCCAAAACACAAGCATCACTGAATAAACCCTTTTCTGGAACAAGACTTAAATAGCTATATAAATAACACAGGCAAAAATGAAAAGTCAAACAACATGAGACATTGATGGGTTTTTGGAAATACATCTAAAACTCTTAACCAGGATTCCAAAGCTGAATTCTCAGAGGTACGATTCTACCTGCCACCCCACAGCAGCCACAACTTGGGGTGCAATTTAGTGGCCCACAGCTGCCCGAGGTAGGCTGAGGACAACATTCAGGATCATCCCTCCAGGGCGTTAGCCCCTCTCCTGCACTGAGCCAGGCGGGCAGCGCCTCACCAGCTCCATATTTCCTCATGATGTRGGATGCAGTGTCCCAGGGCTTAGAAGCATGACTTCATAAAGTGCTCAGGTGGAGAGAGCTAGTCTTTCCTATCCTATAATCTATCCTTAAAAACAAAAGAGAAAGAGAGTTTTAGTAAAGTGAGTCTCACTAAAACAGGGAAGATGACCTTTGTCGGTTACCAACACTATTCTCAGATCCAGGTTTGGCAGCTATGAAGGCTCRAACAAAAGGATGAACCTCAAAGTTGTTGGGATTCTAAAACAAAAATTGGCAAAGGGAAAGCTGAATRTGTCCTCTGCAAATGAAGAGCAGTGACCCTAGCCAGGCAGGATGCACACACCTGTAATCCCAGCAATCTAGTAAGCTGAAGCAAAAGGATTGCAAGTTGGAGGCCAGCCTCAGCAATTTAGCAGGCCCCTAAGCAACTTAGACCCTATCTCAAAATAAAAAATAAAAAGGGCAAGGGATGTAGCTCAGTGGTATTAACATACCCCTGGTTCAATCCTGAGTACCAAAAAAAAAAAAAACAGGCTACAACCCTGGCCACCTGCAGACCAGCTGGGGTACAACCCATGCCAGGGGAAGACCAGGAGTGGGCCACTATCCTGGCTCATTCATTCTCTCCCCAGACACATTACCTCCCTGGCCCAAATGGATGATCCGTTGGTTCCATTCTTCTCGAGACCATGGGAGACGGTTCAGTAACCAGAAGCAAGGCACTCCTGCACAGACAGCACTCTGGGGGCTGCTCTCCAGGCTGAGAACACAGCCTCAGTGTGTGAAGAGCCTCGGTACACCTCACCTGCAGCTTCTCTCCCACTGTGCCAAAGGGCAGAAGCGGGAAACCTCACCAGGAAATCAGGAAAGGGCTCCAAGTGGCATCAGTGAACTGCTCACTCCAGAAAGCACTTTCAACTCTACCAAGGTGACAAACCATAGCCAGCCCATCTCCAGTGACAAGAGACCCCTGCAGATGGGTGGTCAATATGCAGGAGGCTCAGAAGTCCACATAACCTCCCCTAACTCACTAAAGCTCCTGCCCAAGCCACAGTCCAACTCTGGGCCTAGTCCTACCTTGAGTGCCTCACAGAACACACCTGACTCTCTCCTGGGCTGGAGTCCATGCAGCACGTCGCTCCAGCTATCGCGGCCCCCACCTACCCTTCTCTCYTCTCTTAGGAAAGGTCTCTCTTACTCAGTCGGACCTGAGCCCAAGCCCCTCACAGGAGCAGCACGGAGCCAAATCTCAGGGCTCAGGAATCCAGGCCACCACATCCCAACAGCTGGGCAAACGCCTAGGACTGGCTTTTCCCTCTGAATCACCTGCTGGCTTCTCCCTCAGAGCTGCATGTGTCCACACAAGGTGCCCAGTGCTCTGGCATGGAGCCCACCTACGACACCTAAAGAGGTACAATTCTATCCTTAGGCTGTAGAACATAAAAGCCATATGTATCCTGCCTGGTTGGCTAAAACATATGATGATGCTAAGAATTATTAACATATCATCAATTTTGACAAGTTAGATTTTCACATGGCAGAAATTCTAAACACTTAGGAAGTTTAGAATCACCACAAATCCTGACAATAGTCCTCAGAGGCTTCAACTGGCTAAATAACATTTCACTGGGAAATGCTGAGGCCACAGACCCTGGCCCACCTGCCAGTGACCTTCACTCCTGGCTGCACAGCCTTGAGGGAGGAAGCAAGCCCCACCCACACAGCCACAGATACCTGCAGTGACAGTCATCTCTCCACGACTGCCAGCTCTGGACAAGTGGGAAAGACTTCTGGCCTCACTCCTCTCCCCCGCCTTAGACTCTAGGCACAGCTACCAAAGCCGCTAGGCCCAGAAAGTGAAGGGCAGTCAACCAACACCAGATGTGTTGTCCACTGGACACCAGCAACTGAATGCCTGGAACCACCAGAGGACCTCCTGGTATGCAGGGACTAGAGACAGCGCCTCAGGTGTTTCTCATTATAACTGGCAGTGACAGCTGTTAGGATGGTCCCCATCTAAAAGTAGGCTGCCATATCCTGGCTGGTTCGTTCTCTGTGGGCCTCCTTAAATCAGTCAGTCTGGAAGCTTCCTGAAGTGAAAAGGCAGAAAACTCCTGACACCATTGGCAGGAGGCGAGGTACAGGAGGTATGAGAACAAGTCATGCACCGTGACCGTCACACCCAGATAACACTGACAGCCCGCGAAGCCAGGAAACCATCCTTGAATGAAGGCAACTCMCAAAAAGAGCATGAGAGTGGTAGGAAGTAGGGGTATGTCGAATGCACACACGGACCCCAGAAGCAGGGAAAACAAACTAGCAAGTTCATGAACTGCATTTCTGTTCCCTACTTTTTTTTTTTACCAAAACTCCATTTCATTTAGATATAATGTTTTAATAGAATAATTAAATTGCAAAGTAGAAAAATAAATAAAAGCACAGTTCTGGAAAGTGCTAGGAGTCTTCCCTACTGGGGCTATCAGCAGGCCTCCAGTCTCACCCACACCTGCACACACTTCATGGCCCATTTCATTAACATACAACTGCAAAAATCCAAAACAGAAGTATTTAGGAAGAACAAAATTAAGTTTTGTATGAGCCTCTCGGCTGACAATGACCCAAGGACTGTTTGTTCCGTGGCCCCAGCACCTGAGATGGAATTACAGTCCATGAGAACAGGCCGTCTCTTCACCAGCGGTCGGCAGCACAGGATGGTTCACAAGATGCAGGCATCAGCGGTGGCTCTCCCTCAGAWCACCTGTATCTTCTACTCATAAAGTAGGAACTTTTTAATGGGGTCTGGCAGGGGCAGCGAGGGAATCAGATGAAGTCGGTGTTTGCCAAGTGCTCTTCTCACGGCCACCCGGCACAAACTCAGCAAGGTCCTTGGAATGCCTGGAGAGTTGTGGGAAGAAACGGAGATCAGGGAAGATAAATTCCTGTCCCCCACTGTGGAAGCCAAAGGCTGGCTGTGACTGACAGAGCCACACTAATGCCCAGGCCAGCTTCCTACTCGAGTCAGGTGAGCCCGCCCTGGGAGCAGGGTCTTATCTGCTCCTTCCGTCTCCACAGCCTCTTAACCAGGGKCATCTGCTCACTGTAACAGCACCTCCTCTCTCTACTACATTTAAAACCCTAGACAAAATAAGAGCTGCCCACTGAAGGCTAGGCAGATGCAAACAACTGACCCTCACTATTGGGAGTCTCAGATGCTCCAAGGGAGCTGGGGGCCATGAACTGAGCAGTACTCAGTCATGCATTCAATGAGGGGAGCAGGCTGACCATCTGCTCTGGGTCAAAAAGGCATAGCCAAGTTCCTGCCTGGGTTGGTGAAGAGGGTAACAAGTGACACTCAAGAACACGTATCTGAATTCAATCAGCACAGTTCCCAGCCTCACCAGCCAACTAATTTTGGGATAGCTGAACAAGAGCACCCAGCAATGAACCAACCTATGTGAATTCAACAACAAAAGGCTTCAAGGTTAACGCGACCTGTGCAAAAGGTAAAGAGCTGAAAAGAAGTCATTACTTGGACACTGGGCATCCAGGCAGGAATGGGGAAGGGGCACGCAGCCTGGGGTCAGAGGACAACAAGGTCAGCTTCTGAGGCCCACGAAGAGCTACTGAGGTCACGTGCACCAGCAGGCTCACTGATCAATTCCAAACTCCCTGTCATCAACTTATTCATTTAGCAAAACCTTTCCTTTAAAATTGAGCAAACTACAGACTTTATTCTAACAAAAATTACTTATCACATCATTCAAACTAATGGTATTGAGTGCAGCTAAAGAAAGGAATGTGAGGAACCCTAGAAAATGGGCTTACAGGTTTGCTCTTTTTAAAGCCACGTGAAAAAGAAATCAATGATTAACAATTTGGGGCCATAAAGCAGAGCAAAGGGGTAAAGAGAGAATAATTCTAAACATGTTTAAAACATACATGCACTTTCACAGATTTTCTGTTATCCGCTCATGGTGTTTAAGAATTACAGAACAGCCATTCTGGAAAACTGCTTGTCCCAACTGAGGATCTTGGCCAAGTGCTTAATTGGATCTGTTTTGTTTTATTTTTAATTATTACCTCTTGTTCATTCAATCAATCCCACCAAACTATTCATCAGAACAAGCTCAGACCACTTACTTCTGGCCTCCTTAAAGATCTGCAAGGCCTCAGGGTCCACCTTCCTTCTGCCCCTCGACTCTGGGCCCAACGAGTCCCACTTCACCAGGTTCAGGTCGGCTCCAAACTCCACCAGCAGGCTCACAAATGCTGCCTCACAGCCATGACGCAGGACGGCATCCATGACACACCCAGGGGAGCCCCTGTAGAACTCCTGGGTGTTGACAGGACCATTGCAATTGAAGTCGGGGTTGGCCCCGGCCTGCAGAAGCAGCCTGAAGCACTGCAAGTTGTGGTAGGCCGCACTGATGTACAGGGGGCAGACCACCAGGGAGGTGAGCCGCCTRGAGAAGGGGGGTTGGGTGTCAGGAGTCAGGTGATGGTTGACATCGACGTCAGCCCCATACCTACAGGGGAGAGGAAAATCAGGCTTACAGTGGACCAACCAGTCCACAAAGACTGCCCCAGTCACCCTAGGAGGAAGGCTTTAACACAGTGACAACGAGAGCCAAGGAGGCTCCAGAGATCACAAATGTGGCCATCCCTCCACATAAGCAGGCTCTGCATTTGAGCATTCARTCAACTGCGGATCAAAACGTTTGGRAAAAAAATTGTACTGAACATGAACAGTCATTTTCTTTTCATTATTCCCTAAATAATACAGCAAAATAACTATTCAMATAGCACTTCCGTTAAATTATGTACCTTAAGTAATCTAGAGATGACTGACAGTCTACAGGAGGATGTGCATAGGTTCTGCTCAAGAATCATTCTCTAGGAGGGATTCAGCATCCTCAGATGAGTGTCCTCCAGGGTCTTAAAATATCCTGGAACCAATCTCCACAGATGCCAAGGGACAACTAAAGCTTATTCCTTCCAGTAAGATAAGGCAGCAAGTAAAAATGTGGATACCACTCACCCAAAAAACTCCTATGGGAAGTCCTTCTGACCTTCACAGATCTAGGAATTCCAAGACCACTTAACCTACTTCAGAGTGAAGAAAAAGAAGGAACACTTCCAAATTTATCTTATGAAATTAGCACAATAATCCCCAAACATGACAAAGGTCATATACAAAGAAAAACTACCAACTAGCTTCATTTACAGGTACCAAGCTACAATTTTTCAGTAAGATATTAGCAAAGAAAATAATTAAGAAAGCAATATACTATGACCTCCTGGGGTCATCCCAAGAATGTAAGGCTAGTTCCAACATTAGAGATTCCATTAACAACACAATCCATCCTATTAACAGAACTAAGGAGAAAATCCTCTATCTCCACAGATACAAAGGTAAGGAGGTGCCTGTGACAAAACTCAACACTTAGGATTTCCTTTGAGTGATGAAATATATCTCCTCCACCCATGAGTCAGAAGTTGTGTACAGACTCCCAGGTGCTGGCCGCCTCTATGCACGGGTGCTAAAGGTCCAACAGTACACTGGGGCCAAGGACAGAACCAGGSGAGTGAGACACAAAATCCCTCCACTCACAGTTGCGACCAGTCTCCACAAAGGCCTACACACTGCCTTTGTGCATACACACAAAAACAAGTGAAAGATAAAAGGGAAGAGAAGACGTCCTCTGTGCTAGCAAAATAAATGTCAAAATGACAAAACTAAGCATAAACTTAATAAATGTTCAAAGTTTGCATGAGGAAAATGTAAAACACTAACTAAAGCGACAGAACCAGGCCTAAGAGAACAGAGACATGCCACCTAAGCAACGTTGTAACATCACTTTTCCCTGTGTTTGTTTGTTATGTGAAAATACCTTTCCTAAACTAAGCTGGTTACAAATATAAGCAAATACACATGGCATCCTTGGAGCCATGTAAACTGATTATGCAGTTGGAAGACAAAACAAGATGAAAATCCACTGCAGGGGAGGCAGCCCTACCTCAAGCCCAGACTGCTATAAAGGCCTACAAAACAAAGGCACGTGGACAAGCCAACAGAACCACAGAACCCCACACAAACTGCATACAGAAATGCAGGCTATGGTTAGGTAGTACCTCAAATAAGTAGGGGACAAATGGAGTTGCACCAGGATCAATTCAAATCAATCAGAATYAAAAATACCAAAAATATGAAACCATGCAGAAATCAGGAAAAAAAACCTCTGGGTAAAACCTGCCTTATGGCTACACAAAATTAACCACCAAAAAACTTTCTTACATAGAAAAAAAACAGCACAAAATAAATAAAACAAAAAAATTAAAAATTGGGAAAATGCTATAAAGGGTTAATGCCTTTAACACATAAAAATCTTCTAAATGGCAAAAATCAACAGCACTATGAAAAAATAAGCTGAAGATATGGACATTTATAAATTTCTCTTAGTCCCATGAAAAAATGTTCAACCTCAGTCAGAAAAGAAATGCAAATTAAAAACTATCCACAATACCACTTCTCACCTGTCAGATTAGGAGAAAATCCAAAAATGTACTGACCAGTTTAAGGAAACAGGAAGTCTCACCCACTGCTGGGGCAATATAAAATGGAACAATCTCTATGGAAGGGAAACTGTCAATTGCTACCAAAATCACACATGCATTTATCCCTTGACCCATCCATTACACTTCTTRGGATCTAGATTCCCAAGACACATTTGCAAAACTATGAAAAGATACACAAGCGAGGAGATTCACTGACGCACCACCTTTTGTAGCTGAGGACAGGAAAGCTCCCTCAAGCCATCAGCAGGGACTGGCTGAACTGTGGCTCATCTGAAAGCAGCAGGGCTCTGCTGTGACAAGTAAGGAGGAACCACACTGCTCTGGGATGGCCTCCAGAGCGCACGAGTAAGGGAGAAAAGCAGGATGGTCACAGTGTGCGGTGTGTAGCACACACTCACACATGTGTGTCTGCTTATTGGTGACAATGAAAGGATAAACCGCAGAACTTTGTAAACGGTTACCTATAAGGGAGGGAGAAAACAGGACAAAGACAAGATTAGAAGTTACACTTTTTAAAACATAACTGTTTCATAGATTTGATCTGAACCTTGTAAATATTCTGCATAGTGAAACAAAATWAAATAAAAAACAATCCCTAAAAATTCAAAGTAAAAAGAAACCGATGAGCCCCACTGACCATCTAGCTGGTGCTGTCACAKCCTGCCCAACAGGAAGGACGTTCTTTTCAGACACACTAAACGCTCGCTCGGTTAGCCCAGACCATGCCCGGCGTCAGCTTCCATTGCAAGGCCCTAGGACAGGGAGCACAGCTGGCCAGCGGGGCAGCATAACACAGCCCTACAACAGAGGAGTCCTTAGAGAAAGAGAATGCAAGACTGACCGGGGCCAACTGTAAGATGAGACTTAAATATGTCGTTACCTGAAAAAGAAACTGCCCAAAGAAAGGCCAGGACATGTCCAAAGGACACAGAGCTGGCTTGAAGCAGCTAACAGTGGCCAAACATGAGACAATTTGAGCATCAAAATAAATAACAGTAACACTGCACAGGAGCTCACTTGACAATCTAAGAAACCACCAGTCTACACTAATAAGTAAACAAACTTCTGAGACGAGGCACAGGCGAGACACATATACATATCTGAACGGGGGCCAAGTGACTTTACAAAACACTACTTACAAAGAGAAGAAGAATTTTTATTAAGAAATCTGACACCACATTAAAGTGATCAGCAGCAATAATGTGACCAACTGAAATCGTGTAATCTGATAGGAGGTGACAGGCACACAGCCTCACTTCTGCAGGCCTCCTGCCCAAGATGTGATACCCAACTCTGGACTCACCACGAGCCTCAGACCGCTAGCACAGCACCTGTTTCCTCGAGCCTTCACTGGCCCCAGACAGTCCTGGGATGTTTCAAAAGCCATGTCTTCACCTGAGTACTTCACTGAAACAGGAAAGGTCAATATGAAGGAAGACACAACGAGGATGCCCAGCGTGCAGGAGAGGGAGGAGCAGATTTCCCTTACAGAAATGCCTGGCCAGCAATCCACCAACAATCACATTTTATTCTCTTTCTCATCAGCACCACTCCAAACATCCAAAAGAACTTTCTCCAGAAGCCAAAGTGATGCTTTCAGGCAACACAGGCCTGAGGACGAGCACCCAGACCAACAAGCCCACACGGTGATGTTGCTTCCATAGTGGATGGGAAAGCAAAGAAAACACTATCATAGAACAAAAGACACAGACACATGCCTCTGATCCCAATTACTTGGGAAGCTGAGGCAGGAGGATGGTGAGTTCAAGGCCAGCCTCAGCAACTTAGCATGACCCTGTCACAAAACAAAGCAAAAAAAACATATGAGATATCAAATAAAGGAAATAATTTAAAAAGCAGACAASAGAATAGATGCTAACAGCAGCAATGACAATGATATTAACTATATCAGAAAACAGAATTCCAGAATTCAAATAACTCTATATGAACACACAGCTAGTTAAATTCAAGATTAAAACTAAATACTACATAATGCTATGTAAATGAGCTTAAATAAAAATGAGTAGTGTTCATTTGGATAACAAATTATAAGTAATAATTTTATGAGTTCAGGAAACATCAAAATTTAAAGCAAAACCTACTTGAAACACAAGGGGAAACTGACAAAAGTCACAACAGTTGATTAGAGACTAACAAACTTCTCTAAATTTCTGGCAGATCTTACAATTAAGAAAAAAAAAATGTACGGCTGGGGCTATGGCTCAGTGGCAGAGCGCTTGCCTAGCATTTGTGAGGCACTGGGTTCGATCCTCAGCACAACATAAAAATAAAACAAATAAAATAAAGGTATTCTGTCCATCTACAACCACACACACACAAAATTTTTTTTTAAATGTTAAAAAAAAAAGGAGGGATTCTAAACAGAATAATTTAGGCTACCAAACRTACTATGTGAATAAAACACCCATGGTGTTGTGCTTTGTCCAAGCATCCACAACAATGTAGCCTGACTTTAATAAATAATGTGAACTATATGGTCCACATTACCTGAGCACACTACAATAAAATTAGAAAGTGATATTATACTTTCTCCTCAATAACTCTAGATCAAAGAGGAAATCAACTTCAATTATTTAACAAATAATAATTTCAGCAATTTAACAATGAAAAAAGGAAGTTTAGAGGACATGGCGAAGGCTATAAAAATGGTAAATAAATAAATGTTTACATTATTAATCAAGAAAAAAATGAAAAATCATTCATCGCAAAATCTTAAGGGAAAAATAAAGATTAAAAAGTATATAAAAAATCATTAAGCAGAAACATAAGAAAACTGATAAAGCTAAGAAGTAGCCTTATTAAAATACTAGCCAAATACATGAGTGGCAAGTCTAATTTTAAAGAGGGAAAAACTAATACAGAAAGCAAGGAGAGCGACAGTGGCTGCAGGAGCTGGCAAGCACGTGGCCGTGTGCCCGGCAGCAGGCCTGAGCACTCCAGTACTGACCTGATGAGGGCCTTCAGTATGTCAGCTCTGCCCACTCGAGAGGCATGGTAGACAGGGGTGCTGCGGTGGTGGCGGCTTCCGTTGGGGTCAGCACCAGCTTCGAGAAGGATCTGGGCACTCTCCAGGTGCCCATTCACCACAGCCACATATAGGGCAGTCTGCCCCTTTACATCCACCAGGTCCACCTCGGCTCCCTTTCGGATAAGGAAGTCCACACAGTTCCCGTGACCTGCGGTGGCAGCAATTCGCAGTGGCGTGCAGGGGAGCCAGCCACAGCACCAGACAGACTTCTCGTTGATGCGGCTGCAGGGGAACACAGGGAATTGTGAGAGATGCCCCCAGGAAAGACTGGCTGTTCTGCCCTCTCACAATGGCAATGTGACACAGAGGCTGCCCRAGGGGACCAATCACTCACTGTTAAATCCCTCAGGTTTAACAATGCCTCCACTTGTCTTCTGTGAGTCTTGACCCTGTGAGGGCTGGGCTGGGCTGCAACGGGCAGAGCTGGGCAGGGAAGGGCATCTGGAGATGAGGAAACTCGGGGCTCAGGTGGAATGATCAGCATTAGAAGTTAGAGTCCTAGTTCTTAGATTTCCTGACCCAAAGCACTTTCCTCTACAAAGGAGAAAAAAAGGCACCAGACAGCACAGCATGGACAGGACCCTCAGTGGGAAGCCAGTTCAGGGATCTGAGCTCCTCTCACCAGTCACGTGCTGTGAAGGCTGAGGCTGGGGCTCTGTCTGGACCTTGCTATTATCACCAGGCCTAGGTGACCAATAAATCAGTGACTGAGGAGTCACTGCGATGGCACAGGGAATGCAGCCCTTGTCAGCAGTAGGAAACTGTCCAGACTTAGTTCTCAGAAGTGCAACCATCAGACGACACTACTAAGGCCTCCACTGACCCCCCAGGTCAGCAACAGAGACACAGTTTTTCACCTTTAGCTCCCAAGAGAATTCAGAACAAAGCTCAGGAACCCAGAGCACTGAACAGGCACATGTGGTAGGCAGCATGTCGCCAAACTAGCCCTTAAGGCTCCTCCTTCAGCTAAGTACCAGCTTGGATAAGCCAATCAAGTCCAGAACTCATTACCAAAGAAAGAAAAAGAAAAATATTTCAGGAGTTTCGCTGAATCTAAGAAAAAAGGAGGGAAATAAACAGAAAAGCAACATGAAACACCTGGAGGGACCTCCTTCACTCCACCGTCACATCCGCAAGATTAACTGAGCGGGGGCAGTAAGTCCTTCACATTAAGTAAGTTAAAACATGGGTAGATTTTTTTTTAATACTGATATCTGCTGTAATGAAATAATGCTAGGATAATGGAAGGACAAAGAGAAAGGAACATCTTCCTGGACTATTAGCAACGTTTTTCTCGGGAACCATCAACAGAAAGCAGCAGCATTGGTTCCAGCACACAGGCACTTCCATCAAATCACTGCCACCTGGTTCTAAAGTGGATGCTGAAACCCAGAAACAATACAGAGGGGTTTTGAGTTAAGTTTAAAATGTACTTGGGACTCCAGTCCCAGACATACAAAACAACCAGGAACACCCCAGAGAGAAGGCAGGCTGGGTGCCCTCCCAGTGTCCTACACAGGGAGACAAAAAGGCAGGACTTTGGTGAGTAACAGCAAATCAAGAGACAAGAAGTTTACAGGCAGGGGAACAAGATGGAGGAACCCCACATCTTTGGGGTGAAGACAGCGGCCCATAGCAGACAACTGCAGGCCAGAGAGTACCAAAGGAAAACAACTGAGGAAGGTGGCTGTGGGTGCACAGGACACTCAGAAGGGCAAGGCCTACTAAAGAAGGTGACAGTGCCACCATCAGGAACAGCACTGAGAAAACTGATGTCCAGAGAGGCCGGGAGCTGCCACAAAATATAAAGGACGATGATGGAGCTTCATTTGAACTCAGATCCCTGCCACTATTCAGTCACCTCTTAACAACTCTGATTATGCATCCGCAATCTCCTTTCCTTCCATCCTCAAAAGCTGGAATGTGCTCCTCCAAGCACCAGGGGCTTGGTCTGCAAAGCAAACCATGAACCACAGATCCACGCAGAGCCCAGGGGCCTGAGAACCTGGAGCAGCCTGGGCAGCAATGCTCACCTCCGATAGTTCTCCTCTTGCAACAGGTTCCTGAGGGTCTGCAGGTCACCCACATAGGCTGCATCATGGAGCCTCGTGTCCTCACAGTGCTCCAGCGGATGGTCACAAAACTGCTCCCTCAGCCACTCCTTCAGATTAGGACCTGCACTGAAGAAAGGGGCCCCTGTTAGCACTGAAACACCCAAAGGCCAACCAAAAGCACGCACCACCTGCACTCAGTCTGCCTCTTCCAGCTACACAGGTGCTTTCAAACTCTCAGCAGATGAATCACAGAAAAGACCATAGAGAGCTTCCCTTGTAAAGCTAGCACCTTCCTGACACCAAGCCTAATTTTTAAAACAAACTTTAAAAAGATGACAGAACCAATGGTCAAACATACTTCAGAATACAGAAGCAAGATCCTAAATAAAAACATTAGCAAACCAAAATGCGGGAGACCAACCGTACACATGACTGAGTCGCACTCCCTGGCTGGGTGCTGAGGCGCTCAGTCACAGAAATGTGGCAGAGCTTTCCCCACCCTTCTTGGGTTCGAGGGTCGGTGTCTCGTGCATGGGTGTGTCTTGTTACAGCCCCATGGTGAAGCTACACTCACCTGTTCCTTTGTGATATCACCCCTGGCCCTGTTTAGGATGGAATCTTCCAAGGAAGTGCCTTGTGTGTGTCCCCTCCTCTTACTGTGCCCTTGGGTGTGGCCTACCCAGGTGTCAGTCAGCCTGCTGACAGTGGACTTCATGAAGACAGACTCAGCCCCTGAAACCTGACCCCTGGCCTCATTTGAATAGCTTCTCCTCAATAAAAGGGGCCAGCAAGTGCTCGCGCGCGCTCGCTCGCTCTCTCTCTTCCTGCAGTCCCTTAAGGTCAGAGGAGCTGTCACAACAACCCCAAAGAAAAAGGTATTTGTGTCTCTTTTTTTTTCAATTTTTTTTTTATTGTTGGTCGTTCAAAACATTACATAGTTCTTAATACATCATATTTCACAGTTTGATTCAAGTGGGTTATGAACTCCCAATTTTACCCCGTATACAGATTGCTGTATCACATCAGTTTCCCTTCCATTGATTGACATATTGCCTTTCTCGTGTCTGATGTATTCTGCTGTCTGTCCTATTCTCTACTATCCCCCCTCCCCTCCCCTCCCCTCCCCTTTTCTCTCTCTACCCCTTCTACTGTAAATAATTTCTTCGATTTGTATTATCTTGTCTTACCCCTCCTTTCCTCTTATATGTCATTTTGTATAACCCTGGGGATCGCCTTCCATTTCCATGCGGTTTCCCTTCTCACTCCCTTTCCCTCCCACCTCTCATCCCTGTTTAATGTAAATCTTCTTCTCAAACTTTCGTCCCTACCCTGTCCTTGTTTACTCCCCTTATATCAAAGGGGTCATTTGGTATTTATTTTTTAAAGATTGACTAGCTTCACTTAGCATAGTATTTGTGTCTCTTGTGTGGTTATTTTGTGCAGCCCAGTTAGCCCAATTTAACTGAAGTAACCCCTGAGCCTTTTAGTCGCTAACAGAAACCCGACACCGAAACAAAAACTACTGTATCAAAAAAAAAAAATCTTGGGGCTGAGGCTGTGGCTCAGCAGGTAGCTCGCCTGTCTGGAATGCATGAGGCACTGGGTTCGATCCTCGGCACCACATATAAATAAATAAATGTCCATTGACAACTAAAAAATATATATATTTAAAAAATCTAGTATGCAATTACTCTAATTTATCCTAAGTATGTAAGGATATCTTAAAATTAAACCTAGGGAACTATGAAGGAGAACCTTAGTCATCTCCATCACAGAGAGATTCATGTGCTAATATCCTAGCACTAAGCRGGTGCTGTGGCCTGCAACAGGAAGATGCTACACCATGCTGCTCTGTCKACATAAACATGACTCATCACATACGCTACTGTCCCCTCAGAGGTTCCTGTGCTGGAAAAGCTGTGGCTCATGGGAGGTCAGTGGGAGAGTACCTTTGGAAGTGACTGGGTATTTCTCATGGGACACTGGTTAGTTCTCATCAGAGAGTTGTAAAAACCTAAGCCTGGCCCTACCCAGTCGCTGGCTTCTGGTTTGGTGATGTGATCACAGTGTCCACCATTATGTTTGCCATTATTTGCCATGAGGTGATGCAGACAAAGGAGGCAGGGTACATTCATCAGAGCTTTGGCCATGTTGTTTAGACTTCCAAGACCATGAAATCAATAATATGTGTGTGTGTGTGTGTGTGTGTGTACTTGGCAGTATTCATGACTGAATCCTGAATCCAGAGGCACTTAATCACTGAGCTATATCCCCAGCCCTTTTTTATTTTTAAACATGGTCTTGTAATTTGGAGGGACTGACTTTGATATTGTAATCCTCCTGCCTCAGATTCCCATGTAGCTGGGCTTACAAGTGTGCACCACCATGCCCAGCTAAGCCTCTTTTTTTAAAAATGAATTTAGACTGCCTCCGTTACATCATTCCATTACATCAATGAAAATGGACTGGTTCAGACAGTAACCTAAGATGAGTGCACTTYGCTTACAGAGCTACACATTGATAAAAAGGAAAACTAAAATATATGACATAAATATAAATCCAACCCCATATACTAAAAGACAATGAAGAAAACYAGATTGAGTAGAAAAATCATACTATGTACCAGGATGAGAAGATTCAATAATAGAGAAATTTTAAATAAAGTTTAACCTATCTTTTTAGGGTTTTAATATCAGATATGACAAAAATATTCTAAAATTTATTTATTAAATAATATTAAAGAATTTTTATTTATTAAATAAATATAAGGAAGAATACCATTTTAGTAAGAATAATGAAAAAAAGACTCACCCTACTAGATAATAGACCTCTCGTCAGAATAAAAAGATCAAACAGAATCAACTGTCCCGAAAGACATTAGTATAAAAAAACTTAATTTGTGATAAAGAGGTATCAAAATCAGAGAGGAGGGAAAAGGGTTTTAAACAAAAGGTACCTGTACAACTAGATACCTATTTGGATATAACTGAGTCTTCATTCACACCTTGGCCCAAACACACCACTGCCCAAAAGAAACTCCAAAATACTTAAAAGAGTTCAGCAAGAACAACTGCAYGGACAGGTGTGTGAGCAGAGAGCAGAAACTCAGACTGCCTGGATTCAAGTCCCTGCCCTGCCACATTACCCTAGTGTGTGACCAAGCACTTCCCTGAAGAAGCTGCCTTTTGTACACAACTCAAATCTCCCTGGAGTACCTTCTGTATTCAAGAGTCAGTCATAGGTACAATGGGGGTGTAAGTATCTTTGCCCTCCAGGATTAGACGACCCATCGGCAGTGCAGAGGCCACAAAAACACACCGTTCTCTCACTCTGATCCCAAAAGCAGACCTGCAGCAAATCAACAGGCAGACATCAAGCTGAACCACCTCATCCTCCTTCAGTGGTCTTCCTCCGCTGTAATTATCCACACGTGCAATTAACACTGGATGAAAAGGCTCAAAGCAGGAGTGGGAAGAAGTCAGGTGCAGGGCCACCACCGACTGTGAACAGGAGACCTACGTAACAGGAGACCTACGGAGGGCTKTATGAAGCCCTGGGGGCCTCCCTTTTTGGGCCTATTCACACCACCCCCTGGCCCAGCTCACTGCAGCTTCAGAATCTGCCTGAGCTCAAGAGACAAAGACAACTTCACGTTCACATTTTTCTAATTAGCTACTCCAGTGACCACATAATTACCCCGGGATAACGTTCAAACCTCGCCCCTCCCTCTAACACACTAACAAAACAGTACGGCACATGATGCAAAAGGGGCCCTGTGAGGGGCAAGGCCGGCCTGTCCTCCCCAGGACCCTCTCCACCTTGGGAATTGGCGGTCTGCCCTCTTTCCAACTGAACCCTCCACTCCAGTATCTCACTCTCACATGAGGCATTCTGGACCCAAGGTGCTGGCCGTCCCGGGACGGACGTCCACACCGACCACGGCGGGCCCCTCTGCGCACTGCAGTCCCCCAGCGGAGGGTGCCSAACGCGTGGGGGAAGCGGGGAGGGACGGAACGGCCGCGCGCACGGCCTCCAGGCCGCCTCCACAGCCTTCTCCCGAGCCTTCTGCACACCCGAGTGAAGGGTGATCAACTCTCTGGGCGGGAGCTCTCGGGAACCAGCAGATGGACCTGTAAGGCACCGGGCGCCCGGGAGCTCGGACAGTGCCGACGAGGGGGTCCCACCCGGGACAGAGGGACCCTCTCCTGCGGTTTCCCTCCAGCGCTGGGGCGACGGCTCTCTGCCGCCGGACGTGCCGGGTCCCTGGCGAGCCGCAGGCTGCACGCCGCGGCCTCCGGCCCCGCGCCCCTTCCGCAGCCGGGTCAGCAAGCCGCACGGCCAGCGGCGGCAGTTACCGGGCCCGGTCCTGGGGGCGGGCGGCCTGGCCTCGGCAGGCCCGGACCCAACCCCGCGGCCCCGCGCCCACGCTACCTGCGGGCCCCGGCCCTGCCCGCCCGTCGGGGCCGCCGCCCTCCGCCATGGGTGCACCGGCCGCGCCTTGGTCCCGAACCCGGCGGCCAGTCTGCCCTCCGGAGACCCGGGCCGGAGAGCGCCCCGCCCRCCGGAAGCAGCGCGGCCGCGATCACTTCCGGTTCCGGCGCAGGTCGGGGTCTCCACTTCCGGTCTCGCGGCCCTATTTAAGGGCGGAGAGCGTTGAGGGGGTCTGCGCACCGATGAATCCACATAGAAGGCTGAGGAGCTTGGGAAAACGCGTCCTCTGAGTCCGCCCTATCTGCCTGCCGGGAACCGTTGGTTGGCCGGGCCGGGCCGTCCCGCCTGCAGGAGGGGCGRGGCATGTGGGAGGGGCGGGGCGAGTGGGAGGGGCGGGGCCGCCTGCGAGCTGGGGTCCCTGTGCCCAGTGCAATCACCTGCACTGCGGCGGCCAGAAGCAGTCCCTGAAGGGCGTCGCAGGTGTGGGGTCGCTCCACGTATTCTTAGCAGCAAGGCCAAGGAAGGGAATGTGTAAAGGTGATGGATAAACGCTCCCACAATTCCTCTCATGAACCAGGAATCTTGTCTTATTTAATTACAGGTGGCTCTGACAAATTGCATCAAGTGTCTAAATGCATTAGTGAACAAACGAATGACTTTTCCTGCACACTCGCAATTTCAGATATTGCACCATTGTCAAATTGTATGCTGCGATGGGGTTCGTAAGCATGGATACCCCCAGCTCCTTCCATTGCCCACTCTCCATACATGAGGTAGACTACAGTGGAGAAAGCAGGCAGCACTCAAGGAGAGTGAAGAGCATCGCAGGTTCTAGAGGCAGAGGACAGCAGCAGGCTGAGACCAGAGGCCAGACACCACCCCACCCCCAAAGAGGAGGCAGTTACTCGTTGGCCAGCCTGGTGTTGCTACACACTCCAGACTGGGCTGCGGGAGCCTCCTGGTGGGAGCTGTGATTCACAGGCACCCCCAGGGCCCATGCCCAGGCTGGCTCAGAGGCACAGTCCTGTTGGCCCAGATGCAGAGGATGGGACCACCTGGGTACAGGCCTGGCAGACCCTGCTGGGTGTTTTGGGGAAACGTGTTTGAGATTGATAACAGTGAGCACCACTGAGGGTGACGCCCTGTGACACTGCCTGGCAGGGAGCCAGGGTGTGCTCGGATCTCTGGCTCTGCTCCACAACTGCACATTGGAGCTCTTGAAGCCTCAAAAACACTGAAGGCCAAAAATGACCTGAATGTGCATGAATGGGCAGAAAGATAAACATAACTTGGTCCACCCATACAGCTTTCCATTTACAGAAGAGAGGTTCTGACCCAGGCTACGTGGGTGAGCCCAGAGGACCCATGCTCAGTGAAATAAGCCCACACAGGACAAATACTGCATGATCCCCCTCCTCTGAGGCCCCCAGAGGGGCTGGATTCATAGACGGGGAGGGCAGTGGTGGTGCCAGGTTGCTAGGGGAGGGAGGGAGGAATGGGGAGTGAGTGGGACTTTTTTGTTTGTTTTTGTTTTTGTTTTTTTGGCGGGGGGGCTTCTGTACTGGGGATTGAATCCAAGGGCACTTAGCCACTGAGACTCATTCTCAGCCTTTTTAAATATTTTATTTAAAGACAGGGTCTTGCTGAGTTGCTTAAGGCCTCACTAAGTGGCTGAAGCTGGTGGTTGTTGTTTGTGGTACTTGGGTTGGAACCCAGGGCCTTGTGCATGTGAGACAAGTGCTCTACCACCTGAGCTATAGCCCCAGCCCTGAGTTAGTTTTAATGGGAACAGTTTGGGAAGAAAAAGTTTTGGAGATTGGTTCGGTTACACAATGATGTAAATTGCAAATTAACACTATTGAACTGCGTGCTTTAGAAAGGTTATAATGGGGGCACTCGCCTAGCGCGTGGGAGGCTCTGGTTTGGTCCTGGGCACCACATAAAAATTAATAGATAAAATAAAGGTATTGTGTCCAACTACAACTGAAAAATAAATATTTTTAAAAAAAGAAAGGTTATAATGGTAAATTTTAAGTATGTTTCTCCACAATTTTCATAAAACTTTAAAGATCCTGAAGTTGGCCTGGGTGTGGCCTGGGCGACAGGTATTGCAAAGCTCCTGGTGACTCCCGAGGGTATCTGGGCTTAAGGGCCTGTCTCCGTCCAGCGTAATGGTGCTGCTTTCTCTGGTCCCAGGAAGTCCAAAGTAACTGTCCCTGTTCGTCAGCAGCCTTCGTGGGAAGGCACTAAGTGGCCTGAGCAGAGCCTCACTCCTGTGCCTTCAGCTCCCCCCACGGACCTCTGCCACTGCCCTAAGAACAGTGGTGCCACTGGCCCCTGGTTGGAGGTGTCCCGCATCCCACCCCTGCTTGGCTCACGGCAGCGCGCAGCCAGCAGTACGGCAAGTGGAAAGTCCACTGTCCCACTTTACCGAAACTGTGACCCCATTTTCAGGACCCCAAGGTCACAGCATGTGCTGGGTGCCTTTCATTTCCGGTTGCCTGCACCATCAACATCACCAGCAGGGTGCCATGGTGGGACCTCTCTGGTGTGAAAGAGTTCTGTCCCCTGACCTCTGGCTTCCAAGGTGGGCTGGCAGCCAAGGGCTTGAGCTGGGTGGACTGACGGACTGACGGACTGTCCAGGCCCACAGGAGGAATCACTGCTTTGTCCTCCTGAGCCGTCCCTATCCCCATTCATGGCATGGGGAATCACGACAGAACTGGGGTCCCAGCACCCTCTCCTCGTGAACGTCACGCCACCTTGATCTATACAACATCCCTCTTGCTTTGTCTAACACAACAAAGAGCTTTCATGGCACAGAAAACATTTTTTAAAAATCAAGACATGGTGAGAAAATAAATGTCCCAGAGCTGCAGTTCCTGCCATGTGGTGGACAGAGGCCTGACTGTCCTCACACAGAAACAGCTAAAATGCCAGGTAAAATGTAAGAGCACATTGTCACATGCTCCCCGGGGTAGGTCTTCAGGCTGCCCCAGAGGCCAACAGAGGAGAGAGGGCAGGAGCCCAGATGCCACCTTGTCTGCAGAGATAACTGCCACCACCTATGTGAACTTCCGCTCTGGCTGCTGCGTGGGGTGCGGCCAGAATCGGTCTGCCTGTGGGAAGCTGGTGAGTCAGCACCCTACAGAGCACACCTCAGGGTGAACAGCAACCTAAACAACAAAATAAGCACCCACAAAAACAGACATCTCCCCAAGGAARTTATACAAGTGACCGGTGAGACCTGAAAAGATCCTGAACATCAGGGTTAAGTTTTTTAAAAAACAACCAACCCTCATTTTAAAAATATTTATTTTTTATTGCAGTTGGACACAATACCTTTATTTCTATTATGTGGTGCTGAGGATGGAACCCAGGGCCTCACAGGGGCTAGGCGTGCGCTCTACCCTGAGCCCCAGCCCCGGCCCCTAACCGTCATTTTGAAAGGAGTAGTACTCTTAAMAAAAGACAGTGAGCCCCTCGGCAAACCCAGTCCTGACCCCAGCAGCTGCGCTGTGTACAGTGTGGACGTGTCCGCTGGGGCCAGAGTTCATCTGCACCCAGGAAGGCAGGACCCTCACGGACACAGGCAGGCAGGACGGGGAGGTTCAACGTGGCAGAATCACCAAGGATTTCCAGGATGCGTCACCTTTGTTTCTTCAATAAYGGCCACAGGACTCCTGACCGCGTGACTTGCCAGCACAGGCCCACTCCTGTCCACCCCTGGCACTCAGCCCAAACCAGTGCCAGGCAGAGGTTGGGCAGAGGGCTTTGGAGGACGGAGAGGAGAGGAGCTGCAGGGCCGGGAGGTGGCCACGCAGCCCAGAGCGGCCCACAGGCCCGCTCACCCTGTCCAGCTTGCCCAGAGTTGTCCTTGTGTGGGTAAGTGGCGACCTCTCCATTCTAAGGAGCCGAGGGCTTGACCACCACACAGGGGTGTTCTGGCAGATGTCAGTCACAGTGAGGGCAGCAGAGAGGCGCTGCAGTGCCACAGGCAATGGAGAGGCTCCCGAGGAACCAGGGCCGCTCTAGGGCCTTTAGGAGCCTGACCGGGCGCCCAGGCTTCAGCCCTCAGCACCCCCAGCCATGGAGCCCAGGAAAGGTTTGATTTTGAAACTGTCTGCACCAGTTTAATGCCTGAAACTCGCACTTTAGGAGCTTTTGTTGGAAGGTCTATTTTTAAAAGCATCCTGATGTTTTCATGGAAACTTCCCCAAACACCTTCCCGGAAAGCCGTATCCTTCCCCTGGAGGAGGCTGAGCTTGTCCTCTCCCACGTCCTGGGGAGCAGCCATGGGAGGTCGGCCTTGAGGCGGGTGAGCCACTTGGGGGTGGGGTGGGGCTGAGTCCAAGCCAGTGGAGGCCTCGGGGCTGTGTGAGAGGTTCGTGGGCCCTTCCTTCATAAAAGACATTAAAAGTTCTACTTTATGACTGCACCGATGTGAAGACAAGTATGTTAATAGTGTACAGTACATTTACTTCCACTACGGGTTCATTTTTCTGATTATAAAGCATATTAAAACACCCGGGGCTCCTAAGAGCGCCCTGAATGCTGGCGCTGGGCCCACTGGGCTGAAGGCCAGCCCGCCCCGCCACACTCCCAGGCTAAGCAGCTGAGGCCTTGGGTTGGTGCCCTCCTGGCCTGATGAGTCTTCTCAGCTGGACTTACCCATGACAGGTGAACAGGGGTGAACCAGGCCACAAGTGGCAGCTCTCAGCCCTGCCTGATGCTGGGCAGCCCCTCCACTGCCTAACGACAGAGCAGAGAGGTCTGGAACCTGCTCCCAGGCCCCGGGCTCTCACCATGGAATAGTGAGGCTAGGCTGCTCCCAGCAGGAGGCTCAGGGGAGGAGGGAGCAGGAGTTCACCAGGGTGCTCTCCCGCCCCCTCAGCTCCCAAAAAGATAGCCTGGGGCTTCCTGACAGCCCATACCAAGCCCTGTCCCAGGGGCCAGGTCCTGGACATGCATGAGGTGCCAGCCTGTGGTCTCAGAGGGTCTGAATGGAAACTGTGGGACCCCCACAGGCTCCCTGGGAAAGGAGCAGCACAGTGGCAAGGCCACTCTCCTCAGATCTGAGCGAGGGGCTGCCCAGCGGAGTCCCACACCACCAGCCGTTCCACCAAGGCGGACC